TAGGTATAAAGTAAACCCTGGTTAAATAAAATAGTTCTTTTTTATTGGTAAAGATTAGGTTAGGAATAAAATTACATAGGAAGTTAAATATGTAATAATCACATTACTTACCTTTATGTAGCATTTTGTAACTTATGAAGTGCTTCAAGATATATTTATCTCAATTCTCACAATAAGCTTTTTTAATTTAAATTCAATTAGCCAACATATAGTACATTAGTTTTTGATATAGTGTTCAATGATTAGTTGCGTATAACACCCAGTGCTCATCACATCACTCTCACAATAAACTCTTTGATGTAGATACCACTTTATTGGTTTTATAATTGGAGAAACAGGCTCACAGTGGTGGCCTCAAGTTCATGTAGCTAGTTTGTAGCAGAGTTAGGACTCAAACCCCAGATATTGGTAGACATCTCTTTTTTATATATATTTACCTTTTAAATGGTACATTTTAAACATGTGTTTTTAAATTTCCTAATCAAAGTTTCTTTCAAATGACTCAACCTAGATTATTGGATGATCTATTTTACTTCAGTAACAACATGGAGGTGTGAGTGATTGAAATGGAGCAAAATTTCAGATTCAAACAGTTGGGTTAAACACTTAAATACCTTATATATTGAACAGGCATAATTCTCCAGTACCTCGCCTCCTACTTTTGTGTTTTGTTGATTTTATAGAAGTTAGAATATTATTTTGTTTATTATTTGGAAACATATCCCACTGGACTATAGATTCCATGAGTGCAGAAAATGTTTATCCATCTTGTTAATAGATGCATCCTCAGTGCTTTACGTGTTTGGAATTTAGTGGGTATAATAAGTACATGACAAATAAATGATGCTCATGCCCTCCTCCGCCTCATCTCTTTGGAAATTCTACCCACACGTCAAAGACTAACTCAAATGCTACATCCTTTGTGAAATTCTCTGATCTCTCCCATCTGTGGCACTTTGTGCATCTCTCATTTTTGCATTCATCTAGTCCAGTTGCTTCTTATTTGTATACATGTTTTTATCCTTGCCTCCTAGACTGTAAGCTTCTTGTGGGTAGGGGCATGTTACCCAGCATAATGCCTTGTACTATGTATTCCATTAATGTTAATTAAGTGAATAAAGTAAAACTGTCTACACGTACTATCCAATATGAATTTATATAACTTGATTATAAGTTATAAATAAGATATAAATTTGCCCTAGCAAAATAAGTTATGCTCAATATTGGTCATAATCATTTTCATTAGGGGTAGTCTACCATTTTTTACTTCATGAAATAAAACCAGTATTTAACATTATATTTACTGCAACTTTTAATGTAAGCCATATATCTAGAGCAAAAGTTGTAGGGATTTTTGGTATAACGTTTTATGACTAATAAAATTCATTTACCACAATACATACCACTACTTCGCCAGACTAGTAATAAAAGAGATGTATGCTATACAATACCATGGCACGAATTTTCAGAGGTAGAGGACTGATTAACATTTGGTATTATTACAGTAGTGTTCTTTCTTTTTTACTCTAGAAAACAATTAAGCAGTTTAATGGCACTTTTTTTAAACCTGAGTCATAAGCAACTTTTCTTTTTTTCACCGCATAATAAAATCTGAGGTAAAAGAAGATTCTTAGCTTTGTTTCTTCTTCTTCCAAAGTTGGGAATGATTTGGTCTCAATGGCAAGATATGATTTGGTTTCAGTGGAAAATTCTTACTTTTCATAGCAGTAATTTTACATATACATTACGACCAGAACTGTACCAGGGATATATATATTTACTGAGTGAAATTTATTCCATAGCTTTGCAGAATGAGCATTACAAGTCTGTTCTTTGGAATTGTAATCTAGAGACAGTTGTTTTGAGGGACATTGGCTTCTTACATTTAATTCAATTAACTCTGCTATGCAACTGGAGTAACCAGCAACCACTGATATCTTGATTTTCAAATTGCATGGAAAATTTGGCGTTCCTCAACCAAATGAATGGATTTTGAGCTAGAAAATGCAGAACCGAGGTTGTGATATAGTTTTGAAATGAGTGTGTGTGCTGGTGGGGTAGACAGTGTTTCTTGTATGAGATTTAATATATAAAAGTACAAATTCTGAGTCCTTAAAAAGCAGTAGTGTGATAGATTTATAGTTAAAATGATACTTCTTTCTTAAAGAGAAAAAAAACTGTGCAGCTCAAAATTTAAAGTCACAGTCCTAAAATGTCTTTTTTGGTTAACCTAACTAAAGAAAGTAACTTCTAACAGTTATTTCCTTAAACTTTGAAATGTAATATATTTCAGCCAGGTGACTTGAAATAGAAAACAGATAAAGATGACTTACTGGTTAGTGAAACACCAGTCTGAAACAGCTTACTTTTTTTTCCCCCTCTTCATTTCCCCTGGACCAGCTGTTAATGTTTAACCTTCATTTACTACTTCAAGAGTCATATTTACACTTCTCCAGCAACACTTTATCCATGTGTTCCTTGGCCTTATACATTATATAAGGCTCTTTTAGGTCAACTTCCTAATCTTCTCATTAAGAAAATGTCACACTCACCCAAATAACCCTATAGAAGATGTCAGATGATATCACCACTAAAATAACCCCATAGAAGATGTCATCTGATATCACCTATAGGCTTCCTTTCATTTTTGCCTGTAATAGTCTTTTCCAGGTTGTTCTTCCCATTCAGACAACTAGATGTTTCCTTTCCTTTATTCAATTGATGGGGGGGGAAATCTAAAAATACTTCACAATTCACTTGATATCAGATAATGAATTCAGCTTTCTTTAGAGGCATAATGCAAAGATATTTTTTCTCTGTTAATAATCGGTCGTCTTACCTAAAACAAGTGATCATCATTTGGCTCCTAAGTTTCATACTGGAATGATAGTGCTTTAAGACTATGTAGGGGATATGACAAAAAAGAACAGAATGGACTTTACCTCTTGTCTGATAACTTGCTTATACCTAGTTCTTTTTTAGGTTCCAGAGGTTGAACGAATTGACAAGTAAGGCTTAGAAAGTATTTTCATGAACAAATCAAAGTCTCATTATTTTTACTTCCTTAACTTCCTATCAGGTAGTTATATATATAGGGGAAAAGGTCAATGAATTTTCAAATTGATTTATCTAGGTTTGGTTATTGTTAGTGGTTAATTCAGTGAAGTTGGAGTTAAGATTCTTGCATTTGAAACTTATTATAATGTGCTGATTATGTAATTGACCTTTAGCCATGTAAGCACCAGGTTCAAGGTTTTCATCTGTAAAATAGATATACTCCTATTTATCACCTTTGAGGAATATTTTTGGTTTAAGAGAGGCCAGATAAGTTCTATCATAATAATACATTTAATATATTACAACCAATTGTTAGATCTTGTCTATCTTTAAAATTGCTTAGTGATTTACAAATAATGTGTGATCTGAGTAAATGTATCTTATTCTTTTCTGATTTTTCTTGGCTTAAGGAGATACTTTTACCAGAATCTACCACTCCTTTCAAAGTAGGCCCAATTGACAGAAAGTGGAATTGAAACTTAATTCTGTCAAAAATAATTTCCTTTTTGTACAGAATTTGGTTGTCTAATCTAGGGCACTTCTGTGTAGTGGTGTGGTGCTGATTCTCCCGGTCTTATACTCTTTCATTTTTAAGTCTGTGGGGTCATCCTTAGGAGTGTCCATTTCTGGAATCAGGGTGAATGAAACTCTGCCTGAAAATCTATGTGTCTAAAGCAAAAGTTAGAGTGATTTTCTGTATAACCTTTTGTGACTAATAGAATTGTCTTACCAAATTACGCACTACTTCCTCTCCAGATTATAAATCATTATAAATCATAAACTTTGACAGTTGCAAGGTATTGACAGCTCTTGTTAAACTAGATTACGATTTTCACGTGTAAACTTGCTACTCCCATATCTGACATCCTTCTTGTCTGAATCAGTAATTTTGGCACTTAATCACAGACTTATATTTTAACATTTGTTTATGCTTTGTATCTTTTGAGACTATAATGCCCTTGAGGGCAGGTTCTATGTGTTGTAAGATTTTTAATGCCTCACAACTCCTGAGTAAAAGTTTTGGCATATGGTATGTATTCAGTGAAGAATTCTTCAAATAAACATGAACTGTTTTTATTGAGTGTTATGCACAGCACTTTTTTAGAAATATGAAGAATTAAAATACATGATCTCTGTCCTTGTGATACATGTAGTCATACTAAGTTCACATAATTTATTAGATCTATAATCCTTTATATGTAATTATGAAGTCCAAAAATCCCAGAAAAATTACATTGTTATGTTTTTGGTAATTTATGGCAGTAAAATCTAACCCAAGAGTAATACATTTGGCAGAAAAACATGACTTGAACTGATGTGAAGCTATTTATAGTATTCATTTATTCCACTTAAGAATATTCAAGGGCGCCTGGGTGGCTCAGTTGGTTAAGCGACTGACTTCGGCTCAGGTCATGATCCTGGAGTCCCTGGATCGAGTCCCGCATCGGGCTCCCTGCTCGGCGGGGAGTCGGCTTCTCGCTCTGACCCTCTTCCCTCTCGTGCTTTCTATCTCTCATTTTTTCTCTCTCTCTCAAATAAATAAAATCTTAAAAAAAAGAATATTCAAATGTTTCACTTCAGAAATAATTGATCCTTTAATTATGGTGGTATTGTTTTACATGGTATAGATGTTATATTACCTTTTGAAATCTGAAAAATTTTGACTTCTGAAATACATCCAACCTCAAGAGTTTTAGGGATTGTAGATCCGTATGACATACAAAAAGTTAAATGATAAATAGTCAAATAACTAATATAATAATGGTAGAAATATCTCAAGCCAATCTTAGTAAGTTGTTTAAAGGGTCGTGGTGTCTCAGCTGGGTGTTCCTGCAAATGGGCATGAACTCAGTCTTGGATCCCAGGGACCAGAGGCAGATGACGTGGGAGTATTTTCCTGACATGTCCAGGCATTTGAAGAGCCAGATGATCTGTACAAACTCAGTCCGTTAGAGAGCACGGAGGATCAAAACCAGGGAAACCAAGTTCATTCATCCAGGAGTAAGAGATGGCCTGAAGAAGGACCCAGAGAGACACTGGAATAGAATGAAGAATTAAGGGTAAGGTGAGAGTCCTGGGCAGTTGCCATAACCATGGATGATCGATCTGCAACCCTATGCTGCATAAGTGGTTGGCTTTGGTGTAAAGTGTAGAGTTGGAATGAGCTGGTACATATATTGTTGCTTGGATCTGAAAGGGACCTTTAATACAATAATTTATGCCTGTGCCCTCTCCCTATTTAAAAATGAATGATCTGAAGTTCAATAATTATTTTTCAAACATCTAGTTAGTGGTTGAGCCAAACCACAAATGCAGGTTTTATGTTGCCTATCTAGTGCTTTTTCTAGTACCATAAGGAAATAGTATTTCAGTCTAGAGTAGTCATGAATGACTTTTAGAAGTTTGAATTGAATTACAGTAGTTTGCCAAAACTTGAATTATTTGAATTGAATTATCATAGTTTGACAACACTTAAATCTCCATAAATCTCTGACTATACTTATATATATATTTTTGTATTTTTAAGTACCTTGTCAAGGATTGTCTTAACTTTTTAAATCCCTAGAGTACCTAGGAAGTGTTTTGCACATAGTATAAAATGAAAAAAAAAGAAGGTTGAAGTGGAAGCAGACCAAAAAATAACTGCATTTTTTGGTAGAAAGAATACCACTGGGAATTATAAGACCCTAGCTCTATTCTAGCCATGCACAGATTATCTGGATAACCTTGTGCAAATCACTGAACCTCTCTGAGATTCAATTTCCATCTAAAAAGAAAGGGTCAAATGATCTTCAAACTCTTTTATTCTGTATTTTAGTTTTATGTCTATATTTGGTTGAATAACATAATTACCATTAACACTTACTGGATTTAATTGTTTAGGTATTACAAAAGCATAGGTCATATGGGCTTAGATTTTCCAGGGACCCTCTCCATAGAGATCTCTGAATATATCTGAAATATTCATTAAGGTATTTTGGTAAAATAAAAATACAAAAAAATTAATATCAACAATACATTCAACAAAAATCATTTCACATTCAAGACATTGAATAAAATGTATTCTCTGACTTCAAGTTGTTTAGGAGTTAGGAAGAATTTACTTTAAATAGTTAAAAATGTAAGTAAGTAAACAAAACAAACTCTATGGAACTTTGATACGTTTAGCTGGAATGAATCAGCCTCTAAAAGTGTGGTATGACTGGCTATTCAACCTTTCGTTGGGACTGTTTAAATTATTTATCATTTCATAATATAAATATTTTGATACTGTGCACTCCTTAATTAACATGAAAGTGGCTTATCATCTTTGAAGAAAATTGTAATGCTTACAGATCAACTCAGAGTATAATGTTTCTAATTGAATATCATCTGGGATAATATAACTATATTCCCAAAGCCCCTTTTCTGAGTCCCAAACATGTTAGAGAAGTATCATATTCATTTCACTTTATGTTGTATTAACTAATGGCAAAAATATTTGGTTGGAACTACATAGCATTGTGATTGACTGGTGAACATTTTAATAGAGGAGATCTAAATAAAGATAACATTTTTCAAAAGAAGGACATTGCTGGTCTTGACTACCTGTTCTGTAACACATTTATTCAGTCTTGGCAGTTAATTTAGATTAGAACATTTAATGTTTCCAGCCTGTGGCCATCTTTATAGAATAAACCATTTCGTGAAAATTTCTTATAGGCATTTTCCTAAACAAGGTATTTTCAAACTTTTAACTGTTATCCACAGTATAAAATAAATGTACATTGTGTCCTGGTACCCACATACATATATAGGTAATTGAAACAAACTTCCATGAAATAATGCCTTACTATGTGTGATGCACAATGGGTTTTTTTTTATTGTGTTCTAATTTATTTTATTCTTTTGAAATAGTTGGTCCGAAACCCACTAAATTGATTCCTAACTCTCTAAAAGGTCATGACCTATAGTTTGAAAAGCTTCAGCTAAATCCTTTTTTGAGGGCAGTTAATATTTTCTATTTAATTTTTATTCCAGTACCTAGATTTGTGCTCAGCACGTAGATGGTACTCAAGTAATGTTTCTTGAGTGATTTGTTCTTGATTTAGTTCCAGAAATATTAAAGTATCAGTGACACTTATCTATACCAGTTGCTTGAAGCTGTTGAAAGAGATTAGGAGAAAATTATTAGTAATTAGAAGATGAAGGTAAAACGTATATGAGAAGAAGCGAAAGTCACACTTAAAAAAAAGAAAAACCTATAATAACAATGTGTTGGTTCTCTAAGAAGTTGTAGAATCAAGTGCTGACTTGTATTTTTTTTGATTGTCACTATTTTAAATTCAGTATTCATTTTTCTGATAATTTTATCTTAAAACTATCACCTCACAACCATAGAATGACTTCTCCTAACTGCTGCTTTTTTGGTGTATGTGTGTGTGTCTATGTGTATGAAGCTTAACTTTGATTAGGTGTGATTTTTCTAAAAAAGTAAGATTTACATCTTGTAAACTTTGATTTTATTACTATTCTTTAAACAAGATTCTGAGCCAAATACTATTTGTGAATAAATCACATATTTTTGTCTTTTTTGTCTTCTAATCATACAAAGTTTTTTTTTCCCTATAGTAATGTCTGCTTAATTTTTATTTTAAGTATGGCCATTAGTAACTTAGTTACTTTTCCATTTATACTCATTAATAACTTTTTGGGGGAGGTTTTGACTAATATTTTGGTTCCTTATAAGTTCAACTCAAAATTCTACTCTAACAAATATATTAAAACAGAAATTTCTAAAAGATTGCCTGGTATTTCTAGCTGTTGACCTTTTTGTAGCAATAATTTGTATACTAGAGTTTTTGTTTAACAAAGAATTAGGCTACCTCAGTGAAATTTTCTGGGATATCATTAATCCAAATAAATAGAAGATACATATTTTATTACCATCAGATTTGAGCAGGGTAACATCAATAGATCAGGGAGTTTTCACTACTGCTATTTTACGTTTAGTGGTACTTTATAACTCTAAAAATTAATATTTTATTCTCAGACAGATACTAAATTCTTCAATGGAATTTTATCTTCTTTTCTTTCTTTCATTTTTCCAATTTTTCTTTTTTTTCTACTTCTTTTTGTATCACACAAATACTTCTCTGCTTTATACAATATAGAAACTCACTGAATGCTTGCTGATTAACTCTAAGCTAAATTATTCCCTAAAACATTTAGGATCACTAGAGCTTCCTAATATTGATGTTTTCTAGTAGATAGTGAATTAGGGTTAGAAGTTAGAGAACTAAGTACATAATTGTGTTTTTTTATTAACTCAGTGATTTAATCTCTGTCCTTTTATTTTTTAATCTATAATTTATATAGGGCTAATAATTGCCTTTGCCTTTTGTCTATTTCATAGCATAATATGAAGATCATGAGATAGTTATAAGGATTTTTTTTTAAATTTAAAAGCATTCTACATGTATAAGTGTTTAGTGAGACCCCTGATACATGTGTGATTAAATGAGAAAATATACGTAAAATAACCAGCACAGTGCTTAATACAGAGTAAGTACTTAATAATGGTGGCTGCTCTCAATATTATTTAACTTGCATATGTGCTTATAAATTTCAATTACTTTATATTTCACATTTTAAAATGGAGCAGAGTCTAATAATACTTAATTTTTGTTAATTTGTTTTTCATGCTTCTCATTTTATGTGGTTTTCTTAATTGGAATCCTCTCCGCTCCCCCAAATCTGGTCTTTTTTAAAATATGTATTTGCCATTTTATAAGTTTTTACATATAAATAGTTAAAATTTATAATTGGAGAGTTGAAAATAAAGATTATAATTAGTTAATTCTATGCAATTGAATATTTTGAATTATGACAATTTGAATTATTCCATATATAACCATGTAATAAGGCATTTGGTTATTTGAGTAATAGCAGTTGCTTTTAATTATATAATTTCAGTTAATTATATTTTGTCCTGTATCAGATAAGTAAAATTTATATTGCATTATTTTTTATATACAACATATTTTATCCACAAGGAGCAATTTTAGCCAGTTGAGGATAAAAAAGTTCAAAAGCAACTTAAACTTAAGAATTTTGATCTCATACAGATAGTTATTTCTTACCTATTTATAATTTACTATAGCTCTCTTCATATTTTTTTTTTCAGATTATCTTTTACTGTTTTCCCTATCAAAAAAAATGATCCCATTATAGTGACTGGAGCCTTCCTTCTCTAAACACTAAAGATACTTCATGCTTTTGCAATTTAAAATTATTTAAATGGAAGTTATTCAAGTGGTTTATTACCTCTTCCTAAAGAGGGAAAAAAAAGTGTTCCTGTGTGTGTGCATGTGCGCGTGTGCACGCGTGCGCATGTGTGTGTGACTTAATTAAATTACGATTTTTTTTTCCTTTCAGGAACCTTTCCCAAAATGTTCGAAGACAGATAGAAAAACATTTGCAACTTTTGTTTCACTTGATGAACGAGTCAGGAACTGTTTGTGCACAATAATCCAACATCAGTTTAAGATTTTTGGCTGTGTTTTCTCAAGAGCAAGGAAAGACTTTGCTTCCAATTCCTGCACATTATTTTTTTATTGTTTGGATTTCCTATTCAGCACCACTTTACTTTCATTCTTTTGGTTATTAATCTGTTCATTTTGGAAGAATAAGTAATTAAAACAGTTTTGAAAAGTTTTGTCTGTATGTGATATTTTGTTGGAGCATCTACAAAAGCAATAAAAATACTTGTCCAAATCCTCAAGATGCAGACGGTGTCGTGAATGTTTTGAAGGCAGGAAACCATACAGTCTATTTTAAGAAATTCTATTTATTTTTAAGTCAAATAAAAATTTTCCCTGCTCTTTAAAGTACCTGACCGACAAGAGAACTTTTATGGCATCCATTTACAGAAAAAGAAAAAAGAAAAAAGAAAAGAAAAAGAACACAACTTTTTTAGTAGATTGAGGTTTGAATACCACAGCTCTTGGAGACATAGAGATCTAGAGCTTAATTTGGAGTTAATTTATGTTTTCACCTACTTCCTTGCTGTCTTCTTAAACACGCTAATTTTTCATCTGTTTTTCTTTTTTCTTTTTCAGTATAATTACATCATCTCCATAACCAGGAGAATGGCTGTCTGCTCCTCAGCTCTGTATCATTAATGAAGATCTTTGTCTGTTGGGTTTCCTTAGTACAGGTTAATACTTGACTTTTAGTTTACTCAGACTCATTATCAGGATTTTTCTGACTGTACTATCAGTGCTTTCTTTCTTTATTTTTCATGTGATGATCTCTTTCCTAAAATTTTTGTATTGTACTTCCCCATTTCTGTTCCCTACTTTATCTTTCATAGAGGTTCTAATAAAAACCGAGCAACCAATCAAACAAACGAAAAGCCCCTCCTGCTTCCTGGAAAATCTTGATTCTCTTCATATTTAGTTTCCCTTTCATTTCATTCCTTAATTATTACTACTTTCGAAAATTACTTAGCATCTCTTTTAATCCCACTAGGTCATACTCTCTTCCTAACACTTCTCAAATCCGCCGCTTCTGTATCAGTGTTGTTATGGTTTCCAGAATCTAACAAAGTAGTCCGTCTAAAACACAAATATGAACAGATCACTCGTCCTAAGAAACCATTTAATAACTCTCCATCACCTGCAGAAGAAAATTAATCTTAGCATGGAATACAATGATCTAGCCCCTGCCTACCTTCCTGACACTTATTTTGGCAATATGAGATTTCATGTAATCCCCAGAATGTGCTATGCTGTTCCTCACCTCTGTATCTTGGCTGATGTTTTTCCTTGCCTAAAACATTTTCTTACCCTTTCTTGGCCTAGCTAGGAAGAAAGGCTTTTATCTTTCAAGACTCTGCTTGGATATCATGACCTCCGGGAAAGCTTACTGGCTGGTCACGTGACCCTGTCTCCTCACAGTCTTTCCTTGACTCTCCTAGTTCTTATTTATCTATTGCTATCATTCACTAGAGAACGAGCTCCTTGAGGGCAGGGGCCAAACTGTAGTTGTTTTTGTGACTGAAAGGAAATTAAAAAATATCTGTTGAACCGAACTTTTCTCAATTCTGTGTAAAAAAGTTGAAAGTTCTGTTAAAAGTGCTAATAAAAAACTGTGTCAAAAGCACATTACAGGTTTCTGATAGTTTTATTGATAGAAAACAACTGATTCAATAGCCTAAATTTATTTTTCCTATTCTGAATCCATTCATAATGAGGGAGTGAGCCACAACTTTACATCCTGAAAATTCTGGATCAAGGCAGTTTTCTTGTCTGCTTTGTGGAACTTGGACAGTTTTTGGCGTAAGTAATAAACTCTCAGATTATTTTAGAAATGATGAGCTCCATGTAGCAGGTGTATTTCTCAGTGTATGCTGACAACAGAAAGAAAAACATAGCTAACCGATTCCAGCTCCAGAACAACCTCAGTCTGTAGTCATTCTCCAAAAGCCTTTGGCAGGAGATATATTGGAATGCTCTGACTGTCCACGTTCTTGGAAAGACGGCAATAGGAAAAAAATTGATTTCATCAGGCCAATTTTCTTCATTTCTACAGTTCAAGAAGTTTAACCTCTCAAAGAATGTTTAAAAGACAGCAGAACTTTAAACATATCCAAGAAAGTACATTAATGTTAGTCTCTGCTTCCACCTGTTCTCATAGAACTTAGCTTATTCCCCAGATATTTCTGGGAGACGAATTTCCATAGAATTCAGGGGAAGTAAGCATTTTAAAACTAATGAGTCTTGTTGTGATGAGCACTGGGTGTTACATGTAAGTGATGAATCACTAAATTCTGCATCTGAAACCAATTTTACCATATATGTTAACTAACTAGAATTTAAATAATAACTTGAAAAAAACTAAAATGAGGCTTGTATACATTTTGAAGGGTACACGTGCACTTGTCATTTATAACAAGGAAGGATGAAAGTAAGAAATGTTCTATAGTTCATGTGAGTTCATTGAAACAGTTCTCCATTGTATTTTTGCTGAATTGTTCAATTCATACTATTTTTTAGCCAATTAATTAGAAGCATATGAAGTCATCATGCCATGTTATAAAAGATAGAAAAATAATCACCTTTTTAGATATAGTTAAAATTTATGTAGGGTTGGCTAATTATACTGATTACTGTTTGATGCTATATGCAATTTTTCTATACCACTGTTGTCCAATAAAACTTTTTGCAATGATGTACATGTTCTATCTGTGCTGTCCAGTAGGATAATAGCTACACATAGCTATTGAGTGTTTGAAATGTGGCTAGTGTGACTGAGGAACCGAATTTATAATTTTATTTAATTTTAAATAAAATTTAAATTTAAATAGCCACATACGGCTACTTGCTACCATGTTGGACAGTGCAGATCTAGGCTATACAGTACCAGCAGTAAAGTTTTTTTAATAAAACACTTGGGTGTAAGGAAAGTATCATCCATAATCAGATGATCCATTCTCTCCAATGCTGATTATATGTCTTCCTCTCAGTTCCCTAATGCAAATTTTTGTGTCATAAATACCTTCATGGCCTGAAAAACTCTTTTTAAAAGTTTTTATTTAAAATCCAGTTAGTTGGGCGCCTGGGTGGCTCAGTTGGTTGAGCAACTGCCTTCGGCTCAGGTCATGATCCTGGAGTCCCGGGATCGAGTCCCGCATCGGGCTCCCTGCTCAGCAGGGAGTCTGCTTCTCCCTCTGACCCTCTTCCCTCTCATGCTCTCTCTCATGCTCTCTCTCTCAAATAAATAAATAAAATCTTTAAAAAAAATAAAATCCAGTTAGTTAACATACAGTTTATGTTTCAGGCATACAATATAGAGATTCAACACTTCCATACATTACCTGGTGCTCATCACAATAAGTGTCCTCCTTAATCCCCATCACCTATTTAACCTATCCCCCCTTTACCTCCCCTCTGGTAACCATCAGTTTGTTCTCTATAGTTAAGAGTCCATTTCTTGGTTTGCCTCTCTCTTTCTCTTTTTTCCCATTTGCTCATTTGTTTTGTTTCTTAAATTGCACATATGAATTAAATCATATGGCATTTGTCTTGCTCTGACTTATTTCACTTAGCATAATACTCTCTAGCTCCATCCATGTCATTGCAAATGGCAAGATTTCAGTCTTTTTTATGGCTGAGTAATATTCCATTGTGTATATATACCACATCTTCTTTATCTATGCATCAGTCCTTGGACACTTGTACTCTTTCCATAATTTGGCTATTGTAGATAATGCTGCTATAAACATCAGAGTGGATGTATCCCTTTGAATTGGTATTTTCATATTCTTTGGGTAAATACCAATAGTGCAATTGCTGGTTGTATTTGATATATTTAAGACAACTGGACATTTTAAAAGGATACCAGCATTGTTCTCAATGGATCTATAACTTAGGTATGAAAAAGACCATGAATGGTGCTAGCTCTGAATTAAGAATTTTAGTATGGACTAATTGGCACCTTTTGTAAGGTTCTTTCATTATACTTGCAAAGAATCTCTAAGACCTGGTTGACATTTTTGGAAAACTGAGAGCCAGAAATTTTATATACTTATCACCATCTAAGAATTTCACCATTATGATGATGTAGTCAAACAATGTTGTTAAACTGAAGTCTGCACATTGGGCTTAAAAGGTAGAGGGAATTTCCGAAGGGAGAGAGTTAAAGGGCAAAGGCAAAGGAAGGAATGAGGTAAATAAACTGATTTGACCTGGGAACTCTAACATGATCTAGAATATGTGCACATATTTTTAACTAGTCTCTATTGTGATCTCCTACTGCTTCAGAGTTCTGGAAAGATGGATATTAGGAAAGTGAGAAGACAAAGAAAAATTGCCTGGGAGATATTGTTGCTGAGTGGGAAGAAATGAGATTGATGGATAGCCAGAGCAGTCAGTCCATCACTGTCATCATTACCATCATCATCATCATCAGAAGAGTGATCTAACCCCACTTAGTGCTTCTGTTGGATTGGAATTAAAATCACCTTTAACTGCTACCCATTCTTTATCTCAACTAGTTCTTTATTATCCCATTTTGTAGAAGATTATTGTCTTCAATGAAAGTATATGATACATTTGCTATACAACATTTTAATGTTTCTTGTTTGGTGCCTGAAGAAATTTTGGTATGTGAAAAGTCACTATAACACTTAACGGTAGCACTCTCCTCCAAGAGCAGTCAAATAAGGAAACCAATTACAGTGCATTTTCTACCACACACAGAGGTGAGAGTTCCACCAATCTGAAACTAAGTTAGCCATTCCAAACAATAGGAATGCATTATTGTGGAGTAAATAGAAAGTGATTCAAGTCTTTGCCCTTAATTAAATAAACTCATTTAAGTGACAAAAAGCATAGGGAATATAGTCAATAATATTTTAGTAACTTTGTATGGTGACAGATGGTAACTAGACTTATTGTAGAGATCATTTCATAATGTATAAAAATACTGAATCACTATGATGTACACCCGAAACTGATAGGATATTGTGTGCCAATTATACTTCCATTGGGAAAAAAAAGGATTTGATTCACTTTCTCTTTGAATCATATTAAATTTTTAGTGATGTGCATGTACCTCTGGGCAGGCAGGTTCTATTTTGATTCTCAAGTAAAAAAAAGCAAGTAAAATGTCTTAAGACGTTCTTGGAACAGTTAGAAGTATGAAGTGCC